ACACTATATAAAATTCTGTTTCTCTGCAGTTCCACATTTATTGCTGAGAAACAAATCACGTCAACTCTTCATGGTTTGAAATCAAAATTATCATGTCTCATGATCTCAGTGCATTCAAATTCAGGAAGATTCAACAGGATGCACTGGTGGGGGTGGGAGGGTTAGGAGAAAGGTGTCCATGGTACAGCCAAATAGTGGAGGACCTGGAGCAACCGGTGTTGATCCATCAGGGCTGTTTATTATTTCCTTTCTGTAGTTTCGGGGTCCCTGCCTCTGGTTTCTGTTGGGTTCACTTAAGCTTCTTTAGAGCATGTTAGCTGAATACTTCTCCCAGCGAGTTAGGGTTCCAAGGATTAGTATCCCAAGAGAGGTAGCCAGGCAAAAACATGTTTACTTTCCCAACCTAAACTCAGAAGTCATGAAGCAGAGGTTCTGCTCTATTCTGTTTGGTAAGAAACATTCACCGGTGCTGGAGAGGCAGGTCAAAAGGCCAGATTGCGTGCTTTGCATGCTGGAGTCCTGGGTTCAAGCCCTCGTAGTTCAGGGTCCTTGAAGCATCAAGCCAATACTAACCCCTAAGTACTGCTGAGTGTGTCCCCAAAATAAAACATTTACCAAGACCAAGCATTTACTTATACTTTTAAAAAAAAGTATATTCAGCACCATCGACCATATCCACACGATAACCAAACTCATTGAGGTTTCTCGGGAGTTCAAGATGCCGCTCTGCTTAACGTTCATTGATTTAAAGAAGGCCTTTGATTCTGTTGAGACGGAAGCGGTCATTGAAGCCCTAGCCAATCAGGGCATTCAAGCCCAATACATCAGGATCCTCCGTGAGCTCTATTGCGGATTCACTACCAGGATCTCACCATTCTACAAAGAAGTGATCGTTGATGTCAAGAGAGGGGTGCGGCAGGGTGATACCATTTCACCGAAACTCTTCAGTGCCACTCTCGAGAACATCATGCGACGACTGGAATGGGAAGGAATGGGAGTGAAGATAGATGGTCGGCAACTACACCACCTCCGCTTTGCTGATGACATTGTTTTAATAACACCAAACATCAGCCAAGCGGCACAAATGCTGGCCGACTTTGACCGTGAGTGTGGAAAGGTAGGACTACAGCTGAATCTTACGAAGACAATGTTTATGAGAAACAGCCTTGTTCCTGACGCCCCATTCGCTCTCAATGGAACGACCATCTCCGAATGCAACAGCTATGTGTACCTAGGTCGAGAGGTCAACATGACAAATGACCTGGCACCCGAGCTGCGCAGGAGGAAGAGAGCGGCTTGGAACGCCTTCAAGAACGTCGAAGAAATAGCTAAGAGTACGGCTCCGGGCACATCTCTTTGATTCCACTGTTCTTCCTGCATTAACATATGCCTCAGAGACCTGGGCCCTACGCAAACAAGATGAGAACGCCATTCAGGTCTCCCAAAGAAGAATAGAAAGAGCTATGCTTGGAATATCACGTTTCACTCAAATGAGAGAACGAATCCGGAGTTCTGACATCCGTCGACGATCAAGGATCAGGGACGCTGTCTCATTTGCCAAGGTGTCGAAAATCAGATGGGCTGGTCACGTAATGAGATTTAAAGACGACCGTTGGACTAGAGCTGTTACTGATTGGATTCCACGGGATGTCAAAAGACCGCGTGGCCGCCCACCTACCAGATGGTCAGACTTCTTTGTCAAGGTCATGAACGATCGGTTTGAGGCCCTCCATGTTCCCGGAGCGAAGAGATGCCATTGGGCTACACTAGCACGCGACAGGGACAAATGGAGACGTTACTGGCGCCTGCTCGAGCAAATCGACGACTAACGGGAAGTTAAGTGATTAAGTGATTTTCTTTTTGGGTCACACCCGGCAATGCACAGGGGTTACGGGGTTTCTCCTGGCTCTGCACTCAGGAGTTACTCCTGGCAGTGCTCAGGGAACCATATGGGATGCTGGGAATCGAACCTGGGTCGGCCACGTGCAAGGCAAACACCCTACCCGCTGTGTTATCTCTCCAGCCCTAAATAGTCTGTTTTTTTTAAAAAATTGAATCACCATGAATTACAGACTTACAAAAATATTCATTATTAAATTTCAGGGCTACAACGCCATTGTTCCAACACCAATCCCATAACGAGTGTCCAGTTCCTTCACCAATATCCTCAGTTTCCCTTCTGCCCTCTGACCCCCCTCCCCACCCCAGCCTCTGTGGCAGACACTTTTCTCCTCCACTATTATCCTTGTGTTCCCTTCCCTAACTTATCCCACCCCTAGCCTCACCCCTGTGGCAAGCTTCCTACTAAAGACCAGTTCTCCTGCTCATCTTTTCTGTTGCCCTTGGGCATTTATTATTGCCTTACTAAGTTTCTTTATATCCCACATGAGAGAGCTCATAGTTGGTGTCTTTCTCCCTCTGACTATACTCAACACAATACTCTCCATATCCATCCATGTATCAACAAATTGCATGACTTTATCTTTTTAATGGCCAAGTAATATTCCATTGTGTAGATGTACCAGAGCTTCTTCATCCAGTCATCTGTTCTTGGGCACTTGGACTATTTCCAGTTTTTGGCTATTGTGAAGTGTGCTGCAAAGAACATAGGAGTGTAGATGTCTTTCTGCATTGTTTTTGGCCCTTGGGGTATATTTCCAGGAGTGGAATTGCTGGGTCGAATGGAAGCTTAATTCCTAGTTTTTTGAGGAGTGTGGATATTTCAAGACCAAGCTTTTAAAAGAAGTTGACTAGTTTTAAAAACCCAGACTATTCTGGCAACAAACAGAAAATTAAAAACCATATAAAATTTATTTATAATAGCATCAAAGACATAGAATGACCAGGGCTAAGTCTATATGAAAAACTATAAGATATTGCTGAGCTTAAAACAATAAAAAAGGTACTGTAGATACACAAAGAGTATACCATATTTATGGATAGGAAGACTTTACTGAAAGTCTCCATTTTAACAAGATTGACCTAAAAAAGTCAAAGTGATGACAAGCAAACCCCCCCTCACAGGATTGTGTGTTTCTGTATGTATAAACCGAAAACGAAACAAATTTTAAAAAATGTTTAATGAAGTACAAAGATCAAAAAGAATCAAAAGAGGTTTGAAGAAAAAAGTTGGGTGTTTATTCTATGGAGCATTAAAAGGTTATTCTAAATCTATAGTAATCGACTGTGTGATAATGGCACAAGGAGAGAAACATAGGCTCATGAAATAGACTACAGAATCCAGAAGGGGCTAGAGCCATAGCACAGCGGTAGGGCGTTTGCCTTGCACGCAGCCAACATGGCCAACCCGAGTTCGATTCCTCCACCCCTCTCGGAGAGCCCGGCAAGCTACCGAGAGTATCTCGCCCACTTGGCAGAGCCTGGCAAGCTACCCGTGATGTATTCGATATGCCAAACACAGTAACAACAAAGTCTCCAATGGAGACGTTACTGGGCCCGCTCGAGCAAATCGATGAACGATGGGAGGACAGTGACAGTGACAGAATCCAGAAACAGTCCCATGTGCTCATGCGAACTATCTGATTAACAACAAAAGGAGACTACAGGAGTGTATGTGTGTGTGTGTGCGCGCGCCCACGCATGCACCTGCAGACAGATGATGCTTCAGTAAACAGCGCTGGTGTGTCCAGGTTTCAGGGGCTGGGACGGCGGTGAGCGGGACATCTCTCTGGGGAGGTGTGGTCATGTATTTCTAGACACAATGACTGCTGACCTTTATTCCGACATTCCGTCCTTTCCGAACTGTTATTTCTCTCCGTTGTTCCCAAGCCTTGGGAGCCGGCTCCTTCCCTCGCCTCTCTAGTACTAGGGGGTCTTGATATGCCAAAGGCGTGATCCTAGATTGAGACTAGGACCAAATAGCATTGGGAAACCGAGGTCTCAGACGCCAACATGCTCCCTCTTCCAAAGAGCATCCCAGTTAGAGGCGCTGGAGAATCCCGTTCTGCCTCTCTCCTGCCCCTTCCCCTGGGGAACGCCGGGGCCGGGAGAAGTACTGGGGGGGGGGGGGGAGCAGTCAGTGGGGGAGCCGAGGAGCCCACTGCACCACGTCAGGCAAGTCCTGGGTGAAAGGGGGAGGAGCTACCCGGTTGCCCGCTGCGGAGGGGGTGGGGGACTTTCTGTTGGTCACTTGGGGAGAGCGAGCCGAGCGGGCCTGCTTACACGTCGGCACCAAAGCGAGAGCCGTCCCGTCCTTCCCAGGCTGCAAGAGGCCGTGGGTGTATGTGTGTGTGTGTGGGGTGGGGGGGGGGAGGTACAGAATCTGCACCCGTTCCTCTGAACTTCACTTTCCAGACCACTCTTCTTGTTCATTCAAGGGTCCGGGACCTGCCTTCTGGCCGAGGCTTCCGCCCGGGCTCGCCTGGGGTCGCGGAGCCCCCTCACCTGTCCTTCACCGTGGGCACAGGTGCTCGGCTCGTGTTTGCCCACGGAAAGTGAGAGTTGGGCGCAGTGCTCCCCGCCCCCTCCCCCCTCCGAGGTGACTCGGAGAGGGACACGGAGGGAGGGCATCTAGGATCAGACCCAGAGAGAGGCTGGGCCGCGGCGCCCCCCAGCCCGGGAAGGTCTGCGCCCCTCTCCAGGGTCCCGGTCCGCCCCCGACCCCCACCTCCCGCTGCGCGGGGGGGCTCCGCCGCGCCCTTAAATTGCGGGGGCGGGGAAGTGTCCCACTTTTGGGGGGAGGAGTGTCGTAGGGGCTTGGCCCTCCCGGCTCTCTCATTCCAAAAGGCGCCGTCCGGCCGCGCGCGCAGCCCCGGCACACCCCGGGGGGCTGGAGGGCGCGGGAGGTCCGCCCGCCCCGAGGCGGGAGCTGCACCCCCCGCGCGGCCGCCCGGGGCCCTCGGCGGCTCCCGAGGCCGGAACAATAGCGCGCGCGGGCGGGGCGGGGCGGGGGCGGGGTGCGGGGCCTGGCACCGCCCCCGGCCCGCCCCCCGCGCTCGCACACCCGCCCGCACACGGGCTCCCACCCGCCGCCAGCCCAGGCACTGCCCGCGGGAGCCGCCGCCGCCGCCGCCGCGCCCGCCATGGACGTCCGCCTGTACCCCTCGGCGCCCGCGGTGGGCGCGCGGCCCGGGTCCGAGCCGGCCGGCCTGGCGCACCTGGACTATTACCACTGCGGCAAGGTAGGCGGGGGCCGGGCAGCGGGCGAGCGGCGGGGCCGGCCCGCGCCTTCGGGCCCCGCGCGTCCCGGGCTGCAGCGCGGGGCCAGCCGTCCTCCCGGACCACCGGCCGGCCCGGGGCCGCACGGGTGTGCTTGCGTGTGTGTGTGCTTGTGCATGTGTGTGTGTGCGTGGGTGTGCGCGCCAGGGGCAGGCGCACGGCCCGGCCCCGCCGACGGGCACATGCCACGCACACCTCACCCGCGCGCGCGCGAGGTGATACCCCCGGCCCGAGTTGTGGGGCTTCCAGGCAGAAGTCCCCCGACAGCCCTTCCGACGGCGACGCGGTGACACGCACCCTCACCCAGGCCCTCCGGACAGACTGGCCCAGCGGCCACCCACCCGCACACGCACACGCGCGCGCGCGCGCGCCACCCTGCTCCAGCCCCGTCTCGCCGCTCCCCCACCCCCCATACCCCCCACTCTCCCCGCACCCCACCCCCACCCCCGGCGCTCTGACAGCCAGTCGCGATCAGTCGCCCACGCACACACCCTGTCACGCTGCCGCAGACGAGGCGCCCAGCCGCCCGCCAGCGAGGCCGGGCACCCCGTGGGCAGCCCCCCTCGGCTGTCACGCCCGGCACACAAAGACGCTCCGACAGTCACACGCGCTCGCGCCCTCGCCGGGGTGGGGTGGGGGGACTCACGCCGGGGCACCCTGGGGCGCGCGGTCCAGCGCGCCGCGGAGACCCTCGGACTCGCTCGATGTCCCGCAGAAGGTCCCCCCCCTCCCCCGCCCAGTCTCCGGCCCGCCCCTCCCCCCACCGGGCCGGCCACACGCGCGCGTCGGGGTTTTTAAGTTCCCGGCACCGCGGCGCGCGCTGCTCGGGCCGCTCACTAATTGGCCGTCACTGCCCGGCGGGGCTTCGGATTCCGAGTTGGCAGCGGCCAATCGAGGGCTGTCCCCCCACCTCCTGGGCCCCGTGAGCCGGCGTCCCTGCAAGGCCCGGGCTGCAGTGAAAGACAGCGACCTCCCACCCACCCCACCCCCTCTTTTATTCCGCCGCGACCGCCGTTCCCATCCCCATCCAGGTCTCCTCCTGCGTCCCACTGCGCGCGGGGAACCCCGCACCCCAAGTCGTCTGTTCCGGCTCCCGGTGCGGACCCCCCCCAACACAGCCCGGGACGGCTGGGAACCGCGGCGCCGTCGGCTTCTTGCCCCTCTTTCTGCGCCGAGGGAACTTTCCAACTTAGTTCGGGGCTCAGACGCCCCGTGCGCCCCGCGGCTTCTGCGCGTCCGTCCGGGCCGGGCCGGAGCCGAGCGCGGCTTTTCGTCACGCGGAGCCCGGATTGAGCCGCGCGCGTGGGCTTCCCCGCGGCCCTGGCGCAGACGCGCGGCTTCGCTGGCGCTGCGTGGTGAGTGCGCATCGGATGTCGGGGTCGGCGGGCCTCACGGGGGGTCCCCCAGCCCGCTCCGGGGGGGAAGGGGATTTTTTTTTTGTCAAATGGCTGGGTGTGGGGATGTTGCGGGAAAGGGGGCGTCCGTCGGGGCCACCCGGGCCGGGCCTGGCTGAACGCATCCTCGGACCCCGGGGAGCGGCTTCTGGACTTGGAGGGGATCGGAGCGCGCCGTAGATTCCTCCGGGGCTGAGATCTGGGGCGCCCCCGGGCCCGGGGGGCGGCCTGAGCCGGGGTGCGGGGAGTGGGGCGGTGGCGGCCGGCGCGCTTTTCCTCTGGGGAGTGGGGGTGCTGCAGCTCTTTTGTCCGGAGACCCGCAAAGTTGGAAGCCCGCGGTGGAGAAGGCAGGTTCTCCCGCTGCTCCCTGGCTGGTGGAGGGAAAATTGATTAAAAGTAGCGAGCGCGGCGTCTTGAGCGGGAGGAAGGCTGGCGTGGGGCACTGGCTCCATCTTCTGCCCTTGGCTCTGTTTTTTTTTTCTTTTTTTCTTTTTTTTTCAAATATGAAGTTGGCCTGGTTCCAGCCTCTGGTTGGGGGGCACGTTTGGTGGTGGGGAGGGTGAGGTTCTTTGTGCCTCACAGTCTGCCTTGGGCAGGGATGGGGGGTGGGGGGTGCCTCTTAGCCCCGGATGCTTCTCTGGGTTGTGGTGGGGTCTCTGTGAAGTGGGCAGAGTGGGACTTCGGGTTAGAAGCCTGGGGGTCCAGCCGCCGGAGGAGGCCCCTGTTTTAATTCTGAGGCTCGGAAAGCTCTGACTCAGCACCTCGGTCCTGGCCTAGGGGAACTGCGCAGGGAGAGAGAGAGAAACCAGGGTTCCAGCTTCTGTGGGCGCTCCCGCGCATCCTGGCCGGAGGGAAAGGTGTGGCAGGTCCCCCCTCCCCCCACTCCAAGCCCAGAAAGGAAGCTCAGGCCTTGGGCTTGGAGGGCAGGGCAGCTTCCTTGCTGCCCGGGAGCCCATCTAAAGTGGACAGTTCCCTCAGCGCTACTAAGGGCTTGGAGCGGGGGAGAGCATGAGCTGACCATGGTGAAGGATTGGGGAGGGAAACACCCAAGTGACCATCCTTCCACTCGGTCACTCGCAGAACTGCAGGGGAAACTGAGGCACGTGGTGCCACAGCGAAAACACCTAGTGCCCCTCGACTAGAATGCAGAACCCAGGCGCTGCCTACCTGTGGGGTGAGGGTGGGGGTCAGTCCCTTCCCCCCACCCCAGGGTCCTGACAAGAGGCCTCAACCCACAGGGATCCAGGCCTGAGAAACACAAGGGCGAGTTTACCCTGGACATGCCAGAGAACCTCGGGGCAGTTGACCTGGAAGGGCCCCTGGCGACCGTTCCCTTGGCGACTGTCCCCTTAGCAATCCTGCACACAGAGATTTCAGCCTCTTTCAACCCAAGTCGTGAGCAGTGGCTGTTCTTTTGGTATCTTTTGTCTGAGAAAATACACAGTGACAAAAAGCTGTTCGGCTTTCATTTCTGCTCTGAAAGGGACACGCATTTTTATTAATCACCAGCATATTAACGAGCGTCTGAGAAATAGCTTACCTGGCTCGAGGTATTCCTTCACGTGATAACCGTGTCAGATGAGCACAGGGGTTTGTGGCCTGGTGACCTCTAGGATTTCTGGTCCTAGGCTGGGAACCATGCAGGAGTCCCTCCTTCTTTGCGTCATGGAAAGGGAAACTGAGTCACGGGAGTGGTTCCATAGCAAGTGAAGAACACCGCAGAGACCCAAACCCCTTTCCTGACCCCCCCGCACACTGGTGTGTCTCTGTTCTCCTGGCAAGTCTGTCTTGATTTGTGGGTTCGAGTTGTTAAAAGTCCCTTCATTTGCATCTAGTCCAGGCCCTTTGTGGGTGGGGGCGGGGGTTGCCCAAGGCTCCCTGCCCACTGTGGCACATTGGCACACCCGGATTCAGTCAGTCTCCAGTTGTGGCTTTGCGACCTGGGACAGACGATTTTCTTTTTTTCACTTACTATGTTCTCCTGAGATATAGACTTATGTACAATAAAATGTAAATCTGAAACAAAGGTCCAAAGACAATGTTGTGGGAAAACTGATCCACACAAGTGAGTTGGGGGATGGGGAGGGAGGGTCCTAGGAACCCTGGGGAGAGGAAGGGGTACACTCATGATGAATGTGGTGTTAGAATTATGTGCACGAGAAACTATTATTAAAAGCACTGTAAACCATAGACTTTCAATTAAAAAACCTGGTAAAATGCAAGTCTTTTTTAAAATTTTAGTTTTCATAAATTGTTCACAATAATTGATTACATTCAATATTTCAACACCCATCCAAACACCATTACACCTTCCCACCACCATTTAAAACGCAAGTCTTAAGCTTCCCATTCTATAATCTTGGTAGCAACTCTCTCGGTGCAGATATGGGACGTTTCCATGACCTGGAAAGTTCTCTCATGATCCTTTCCAGCAAGTTCCTCTTCCTGCAATTTCTAAAGGATTTCTACGATCGGTGCCTTCAGTTCAGAATCAGTGTTTAAATTCTGGACTCTCATATGCAGCATGTGTATTTTTGTATCTTTAGTCTTCCTTGTCAAGCTAGTGATCCATGTTGTGTACATAACTGGTTTGTTCCATTGCTCAGTAATATTCCATTTATGAAGTATCGGACAGTTGCCTTATCTTTTTCACCAGATGATGGGAACTTAGGTTTGTTTTCAAGATTGGGGCCATTAGCCAAAAGGCCGCTATGAATAGTCTTAGCCAAGATTTTTCCGTGTGTGTGTGTGTGTGTGTGTGTGTGTGTGTGTGTGTGTGTGTGGTGTGTACTATAGCTGTGCCTTACTGCCCTCTTCTGGACAAAATTGCTTGCCTCTGAGTTTCAAGGGCCGAGTGAGGTGATGTAGCTGGTACAGTTCTTGGCACATACCTGCAATCCTCAGAGAGGGGCAGTATCACCACCAGGGACCTGCACCAGTAAGACAGGATCTGCATCTCTGTATTCTAAGCAGCTTTCATCCCTGATGCAAGCCCCCTTTAAAGCCTGCCTGGGTACCGTTTTCTGCAGGCAGTACTCCCTGGCTTGCTCTCTTTCCTCCCAGCTTCCCCAGCACTGGAGCTGCAGGGATGGAGTCGTAGAACGTGACTCTCTCAGGCCACGGACAGGAGCGCCTCTTAGATGCTGGACAGCTGTGCTCAGCCATCGATGCTACCACCGTGAACAACAGTGACTTCAGTTGCCACCCTCTGGAACAGGAAATGAAGGACATGTAGGCGAACTATATGGTGGTGGCACTGATGGCCAGGCAGCTCCGGAGAACAAAGAAGTAGAAGAGAACAGGGTTGCCAAGATTGGGGCTGACTTGCAGTTTTAAATTGTGAGGTTGGGGAAGGCCTTGTGGTCTAGACCAGTGTTTTTTAACCTTTTTTCCTTCCTGTGGCCCCCTTCCAACTTGTTTCCTTCCTGTGGGCCCCCTCAATCCAACTCTTTGACCCTCTAGTCTCAGTGGTCCCTCTCTGATGCAGTTTCCACCTGTTTTCACCTGGAATATCCAAGGGGCCCATGGGGGGTGGGGTGGGGTATGGCCCCTGGTTGAGAAATGCTTGG